ATACTGTGTACTTTGCTCCTGGACGTGCTGAAGAACGGTTACACAACGCTAACCAGCGCCGTACAAAACTAACGGAGTTCTTTGCGCTCAACACAAACGACGTGGGAGCAAGACAGTACCTGTACCACGAGATACCGGTACATTATACTTGGAACCAAGCAAACAGGACATGGTCGCGGCGGCAAAGACGCACGGCCAACGAAACGTTAGCTCGGATGTACGCCGTTAGCCCGATGGATCAGCACCGATTCCACCTGCGACTGTTAGACTGTTTGAGCTTAAAGCTAGAGACACACTATTCACACGCCACGTCTTAACATGTCTTTACACGCCACGCGTCAACACGCCGATAATTTTAAATCGTGTGTTATTTATTTTTAAATATTATTCGATTCTAAGATCGTATTTATAACACGCAACGCATTCCTACTCCATTCCACGCCATTCCACGCCATACGTTTCAAACAATTTTGAAATACGTGTAACGTGTGTTGAGAAATATCGTCATTTTACTACGAGCTTTCGACATTGTCCTATCCTGACGATGTCCGCTACATATAGCGAAGAAAATTTAATAGAAAATGTACGTGCTCATACATCATTGTACGACATATTTTCGGAGGACTACAAGGACCAGAATGTACGCAAAGAAGCATGGGAAGAGATTGGTGATGCGTTAAAAATCCCAGGTAAATACTATATTATTATATTACTTTATAACTTTATAATAAATCTATATACTTAATAGTCCCAAAAATATGCCAATTATTATGCAATCAAAATTATAAAAATATGCAATAAAATTTCAATTATTTATTTCACACATTTTTACAATATTAATATTGGTAAGTACTAATATTTAAATATTTTAAAAAAGGTATTATAAAGTAATATATTTTTGTGAAGTGGTTGGGTGATATTTGATCAAGTAACTAAGTATTGTTGGGTTTGTAAATAGGTATAATCAAGCTAAACGTTGATTATAGATTTACAATTTTAGGTCCTAATCGATTAGTTACCTATCTTATCTTTATTTAAATTACTATTTAGTGCCTATGCAATTTATTTTTGATTTTTCTACTCGACAAAATATTATTTTATACACATTTTTAGAATGTTAACTTCAATATGCAAAAATACACAATGTACATTTTGTATTTCGTAAAGATAACAACAATATATAATAAATGAAAAAAAAAAATTTAATTATCTTATATTCAATCAATTAACAATACAAATTTTTCCTAAACGAATGATATACAAATAAAAATGTCATCAAAGTTTTAATATTAACCATTAAAAAACGAGAAAATTAGGGAATTTCATTAAAAAATTATAAAATTATTATGATCATTAATTGATTCTTCCTCTTCGAACCATTTCATACTGCCACGGTACCGAACCATTGGATGACAAAAAATAATCTCTATATTTATCACGTACTTCAAATGATCGTTGTGTACTATTTCCTCTTAATGGCTCTAAATTGTCAAGACCTTCTCCGATTTCACTTTCCTCGTTTATATCATCTAAATAATAATCATAATCATGACTACGACAAAGCATGTTATGAAGACAGAATGCAGCAAGTACTATTTTGTCCACTGAGTTAGGCTGTACTTGTATGACTGTTCTAAATACTCTCCAACGAGCAGACAGTATTCCAAATGCGTTCTCCACAACACGACGTAAACGTGAAAGTCTATAATTAAAAATTTTATTCCTCTCATTTCCAGTAACAGATACTCTATTGTACGGTTTCATGAGATATGGTTTTAGGGCAAATGCTTCATCTGCAACAATCACGTATGGCATAGGTTCTCCATTGCCTTCCAGTGGTGTATCTTCGGGTACATACAACTTTTTGTTTTCAAAAGCATTTCCTAATATAGATTTGGCGAATACATTTCCATCTGAGTTACGACCATAAGATCCCACATCAATAGTTATAAATCTATAATGAGCATCCACTAGAGCAAGTAGAACTATTGAATTTGATCCTTTATAATTATAGTATGCTGATCCTCCTTTTATCGGACACCTAATGTTGATGTGCTTACCATCGAGAGATCCAAGACAATTGGGGAAATTCCACAATTCTTTGTACTCCTTGCTAATTTTTTTCCAGTCATCTTTTGTAGGCTTTGGCATATAAATAGGACTTAATACTTTCCAAATAATATGGCAAACTTCCTCAACAATTTCTCTGATGGTACTAAATCCCATACGAAAACTAAAGCCTAATGATCTATACGATTCTCCTGTAGCTAAAAACCTGTAAACATTTAAACATAATTAATATTAACTATGATGATGATAATTGCTGACAAAATAATTCTGAGGCTAGCTTGGTGTATAAAATATTTTATTTTGAATTCTTATAATCAATTTTAGCATACTAGTTAAACTTATTGTGCATTATAGCTGATAAGTGTAAGTCAGAATGGACGAAATTAAGAAATTGTTTCCTAAATTCGATTCGTAGACGCCGTCAAAAAACAAGTGGCCAGTCTGCCAAACATATTCCTGCATGGAAATTTTCGAAACAAATGGAATTTCTTCTACCTTTTTTAGAGAACCGAGAGTAAGCATCCTTATAATTATTTAATTTAATTTAATATAATATTGGTTTGAATTGAATTTAGAACACACAGTAACATAGAAGTTCATAACCAAGATGCAAGGCTGAATGATATGCCAGAATTACCCGAATCACAGAGAGACCAGCTGCTTAGCCCAGAATTACACGAATCACAGAGGGACCCACTGGTTAGCCTAGAATTACCCGAATCGCAGAAAGACCAGATGTCTAGCATTGAACTAGATCACAGTTTATTAACTGCACAAAAAGCCCCAACGAAAAGAAAAAAATCCAACTATAACGAGGAAATGGTTGAAATAATGAGAGCAAACTCAAACTTCAGAAGGGAAAAGTATGAAAAAAAGGCATATATGAATCATGATGAAGTTGAAATGTTTTATTTGAGTATGGCTAAAATCGCAAAGCGCCTCCCAAAAGCCAAAGAGGCAAAACTTCGTATGGAAATTTGTAACAAAGTATCTGAAGCAGAGTTGGCTCATTTATTGGAAGTCGAAACCATACAACAACCGCAAGTATCAAATCAAAATCAAGTTTTAAGCTATCAAAATATAATGCATTACCAAAATCTCCCATCAGTTCTTCAACCGCCAATTTCAACATTACATGTGGTAGAAAGCAACAGCAGGTCCTCTACATCCACTTACTCAGATTACTCAAATCAGTCAATAGGTACAACTTATAGTAACGAAGAACAAAACTACAGTCGTTCACCACTGAACAACTTCATGCAGCCGAACTTCGATCATTCCAACAAGAACATTGAAGAAAATTCCTCAAATAAATATAAAGCATTATGAATGGCCAAATATTTTACATTTATGTTTTTTTCCAAGTTATATATTTTAGCATTCAATTAATTTTAAACTAAATGGATTTTTATTTTATTTTATTTTATGTTCAGATAAAAACGCATTAAGTTAATTATTTTAATCAATATTTTTGTCTAAGAAGTAAAGACATTTTTCGAATTAATTATTTTGTTTTAATTGATTTTTTTACATTGTTTTCATCATACAAAATTAATAAAAATTAGTAATTAGTAGAGGTCGGATTTATATTCTTTTAAAATCCTTAAAATATGATGTTTGTATGTCACATAAAATAAGCAATATATTCTCTTAATATTCCTTTAAAATACCGGATATATGATGTTTTATGTCCTTAAATATGCAAAATATTCTTTTGATATAAAAAAAAAAAAACAGTTTAAATTAATTTTTTATTAATTTGGTTTTAAAAATATTTAATTAAATTAATTTTACAATAACAATTAATTACTATATATTGTTCGATGTATAGTCGTGACAGCTAACGAAATAACCGTTGTGCTTTCGCAATCGATAAGGAATACCTGGAGATTAATTTTTATTAAAATCCGGAAATAAATCATTTAGTGAACATTGTATTTATCAAATGCTGATATGCGTGAAATATGTTCATTATATGCCGGGTATCACAAAAATATTCCCAAATATTCTCTAACGTGTTAAATATTCTCTAACCTCTAAAATATGCTTTTTTATGCAAAATAAATTTTTTCCTGTGAATTCTGTGTTTCATGATTCGTAAAGATTTCTCACTCCCATTTAACTGCATAAACTAGAAACAAATATGTAAAATCATAAAAATCCGACCTCTA